TAACCTTGCTTCAATTAGGACTTTTGAAGGTTGTAACGTGGTCTGGTTCATGGTTTTTAGAAAAAGATTTTAAGGCTCAAAATATTTGGTGCCCACCCATTCTTCATGATGTTCTCCAACCCTATGTTCAGTTAATTCAACATGAGTGTTCATCTCTCAAAAGGATTTTGTGACGGTCAAGGAAACGACGAGGCTTTCGGAGTAGAAACCGCCCTCATGTCTTCGTGTTTGTAGTCACCAATTTGTTCTTTGTTGAGGACTTTTCTTTGCAGTCCTTTTCTTTGCGACTTTTATTTTCCCTAACTTTTGCCTGAACTAATTCTTTTGAATTGATAGTCCAGCGGGATGCCTTAATTTTGCCTAAGTCACAGGTTTTCATGTTTTTTGACTTAGCAGGCTTTTTCTTTTTTCTCGATTTTTGACTTTTTGAACAAAATGTGTGACATTAGCTTGTCTTTGCTTGTTGAGAGGATTGTGATTGCCTCGTTTCTTGATGAATGAGGGATAACATTGTGGTTCCACATCCTCTAGATTCATTATACATGATGGATAGCCCTCGTAGTTTCTCTTCAAAAAACATCTTCCTTATGAATTTTGAACACTCAGTCAGATTAACTAAAAACTACCCTGCCCCAGGTTAAAATTCAAGGTTTTTTCGTATAGAAAAGAAACTTCTGCTTCAAAGGCTCAAAAGGGGTTAGCAAGGGATTATCTTCCTTATATCTCCGGTATTTAGGGATTTGAAACAATGCATGTACATCATCAGCAAGATTTTATCCAAAAGCAAACAACCAGAGATTTTGTGTTCTTTAGATCATCATCCTCCCTTCAATCTCTGCCTAGGCAAGAGAATGAGCAACAATTTGGTATCATAGTGCAAAAGCAATTTAAAATTTGAAAACAAATATGAGTGAAACGAATGAATTTCTTCAAGACAAACATACTCATTGTATTAAGATAATCATTCAGATGCAAACAAGTTCTTACATGCAAACAATGTTTTGATAAACAAGAAAAATTACAAAAAAGCAGAAATAAGTCAATAAACTGGGAAGGCTTTCCATCTGGACTTGAATTACCGAAAACATCCTTCAAAACTCAAAGTCACCATCAATCGTGTTTACTCTTCGGCACGTGCTTGATTTGAACTTCAAAACCAACGTCCTTGAATGACAAGATACCACTTCTGACCAACTTCTGAACCTCAATCTTCAAAGCAAAGCAACCCTCCAAGTCATGCCCAGGAGCACCTTGATTAAAGGTACAAGCCAAATCAGCTTTGTAGTACCAATGTATCCTCTCAGAAACCTTCGGTGGAGGTCGGGTCTGAACCAAATTCCTCTGCATCAGGATAGGGAACAACTCTGTATAGGTAATTGGAATTGGATCTAACTGGGTTTTCCTCTGATTAGGAACTTGCTGATTCTGTTGATGAATAGGAGGAACATGATGATTTTGACGATGGATATTTCTTCCTCTGGTTCCCTTCTTGGAAAAGTTATTATCAAACTTCTTCACACCATTAGCTGAGCTACCATCTCCATATGAACATCCCTTCCCGACATCTTCTTCTAGACGCACTCCCACATTCACCTTGTCAGGAAAGTCATTAGGTGCATTAACCATCACCTTCTCCTAATGATTTTAGAGTTTCAGTGAAGACTTTTATCATTGCTTCCTCCCTCCTAGAAGGATGGACTTGGGTGGCAACCAGAATTTCAACCAAACCAGTTAAGTGCTCCATACTAGCTTTCAAATTAGTCACCTCTCTGCGGAGTTCATAAATCTCTTGCTTGATATTCTCCATTGTTCTCTTAGCGCGAGTGTTGTACTGGTGAGACCAAAGGAAAAATAAGACTCGGAAAAAGACCTTTGACAGTGAAACAAAAAATGTAGAATGATGTATGATATGCAAAAGAGAGTTTTTATTTGATTTTCAAGGAACTCAAGATATTAAGTTGTAAACATCAAAGTATGAAGATAGAAGATGAATTTTAAATTGGCTCCAAACATTGATCAAGTTATCATCAAGATCAATCATCCATTTTGGTGGATTAGGGTTTTCGCCCTATCAACACCCAAGATCCATTGAGCTTGACGAAACTTGTGATGTTTACAAAGAAAGACCTCCAAATTCAATTGGCTCCAAACATTGATCAAGTTATCATCAAGATCAATCATCCATTTTGGTGGATTAGGGTTTTCGCCCTATCAACACCCAAGATCCATTGAGCTTGACGAAACTTGTGATGTTTACAAAGAAAGACCTCCAAATTCCTTCAAAGTCAAGTGAAAAGGGTTTTATGGATGCATGAATGCATGGCTATGCAACAACCACAAGCAAGGTCACAAATAAAGTCGAAAGGTTCAACGTCACAAGCATGGAGCCAAGGTAAGGAACACCCCCAAGGTATGTACTAACGGTTTAATCACACCTGTAGAACAAGGTTCTAAGAGTTCCCGGAGTCTACATCCCTCCTTCGGATATTACCAACGTCTTGATTACTCAATAATCGGCAATGTTCTCGAGAGAAACTCATCCGAGCGTAGCATCACGTAACAATTACTTCCGGATTACTCCGTTATAATCTCCGCGCTACACCTAAAAGGCCAAGATGGGTTAGGGTTCTACGGTTCCCAGCTTCTCTGGCTCCCAGGTCGAAAATAATAATGTCTTCCTGATTACTTGGTAAACAAATATTACGTTCAAAAGGGCCTTCCACTAAGTGGGGGATCTCATGCCTCCTTCTTCGGGATTACTCCCTCAAAGTTAACATGACTATACCGCCCGTCCTATTCCTAAGTGTAACTTAGTCCGGGTATAGGACTTGTCCTTTGTAAATATTATCAACACCCAAATAATCATAATATATACATATAATCAAACAATCAAATAATGATAAAACAGATAAAACAAATTAGGCTTAACCCACTTAGGGATGGACCAACAAGAGGTCAATCTTTCCCCAGCAGAGTCGCCAATTCTGTAGCGGTGAAAATCGGAGATCAAGCTATTAATTAACTTGACTCACAAAAGCAAGAGTCGCCACCGCACTTTATTATTTCCAAGGGAAAAGGGAAAAGAGCGAAATAAAACCCTAAAATATGCAATGTAAAATAATACTTAAAAGTAATGAAAATACGATGCATTTTTGAAAGAGATCGAGAGTTCGAGGGTTGGTTATACAATGGGAAGGTGTTAGCACCCAATGCATCTGCAGTACTCCGCAGGAACCTTTTGAAATATCTGTTTTTTGGTTAAAATTGTTTGTTTGGTTAAAATGGTTTGTTTGGTTAAAGATGGGTATGGACGAGATTTTTGAAAATCCGACGAGCTAATGTCGAAGTTTTTGACTTAAAAGGTGTGAGTTTTAAAATTGGGTCTTTTGGAAAATTATCTTAGGTTTAACAAAATAGTAAACAAACAAAAGATGAATGAGGGTATTCGCACGATTGGATGAGATGTGTTTGATGACGTGAAGTCAATAAATTTAATTCTTTCCCTTGGAGTTTAGACGGACGAACAAAATAAAATGGATGTCAAAATATGAACATTCGAAAATTCACAAGGAAATAAATCGAAAGACCCCAAAAAATTAAAATGACAAAGATATTTAAAAGAGAATGGAACCAATTATCTAAATTAAAATTCTAATATTACTTACTAAAATAATTCTAAACTAATTACGAATTCTAAGGTTATAAAGAATAATTCTAAAATTACTAAATTAGATATGAACTAAATTAAAATTCTAAAGTTATTAAGTTAAATCTAAAATAACTAAAAATAATTCTAAAGTTACTAAAATAATCCTAAATGAACTTAAAATTACTAAAATAATTCTAAACTAAAATTATTAAAATTTGTCTAATTGAAACTACATGTTTCTTTCTAAGAAACTAACTAACCTAATTTAAATAAATTTAACTAAGGAAATAAAACTAAAATAAATAGCATGGGGGTATCAAACCTAAAAAAGTGGTGTAATGATAGGAATTCGGAATGACTAGAATAAGGGAAAGGCCCATATGAAGGAGGAGGTTGAATAATATTTGGATTTTTGATAGAGAATTACTTTTGAGAGAGCTAAGTATTGACCTGAATTGTGAGATGAGGTATACGGAGAAGGCGCAGCATAATTAGATCTGGATCCTTTTCCCTTTTTCTTTTTCTGTATAAAGCACACAGCGATACCAAGAAGTTGATGGCAATATGGGTGGAGGTGTTTGCGTCGGTGACCGGAAATGGTGGTGTTGAGTTGTTGTCAATGTTGTTAACTGCTTTTGATGATGAAGAGGCATAAGGTGCTTTGCCACGTACCCTGATCCTTCTCTTCTTAAGAAAAATTTGAAGTGATTGTCTGCGTGCTAATGGAAATTCTTTCATCCTACAAATGGAACTCTTGTCAGCAGCAGGAAAACAGACTGATGGAGGAGAAGGCACATTGTTAGAAGTTCCTTGTGGAGAAGAAGGAGCGGCACTGGAAAAGAGTGAAGTGAATGGAATTCCAATTTTCATTTCAGAAGACTTAGCAGTGGCAGCAGCCATCAACATTATTTCTTGCACCTTTTCTGCAGGAATTCCATCATATACACACATACTTCCATTAGACAATGGCAAATTGACCTTTTGCATTCAGTCCACATGTTGACATTGGCAAGTTAGCAAAAAAACTCTTGACAGAACCATCATCACTGGCACTGTTATTGCAACTCATTGAAGAGTAAGAGGCTTTAATTGGTTGTGGTGGACACGGTGGAGAAAAGTTGTTTGTGACGGTTGATGTTGAAGGTTGTTGTTAAGGATGGCGGTTTGCTACAGAAGGGAGTGTGGATCATGAAGAAGCCGGTGGAAATTTACGGCGGAGGGTGATGATCGAGGGTATTACAATCCAAGAGAAATTTGCTCCAATGTAGTATGCGTAGTAGTAAAATCAATTTGTAGAAAATTTATCGCCTTCCAAAATCACTGTTATGTAATATACAGCAGTTCCATATAGCTAACCCAAAGAAATGGAAAATTGAAGTATGTAGCTGTATGATTTGCCGGTCGTTATCGCATATACGGCCAGTAGACTGGCTGGACCCTCCAAAACTGCTGTTAGTCCTTCAACAGTTACTACTGCTGCATCCCTTCCTGCATACCTTGAATCTCCTTTGCTATATTCCTTCCAAACTTCAGCAAGGTAGAAACCAGTGTTATCCTTGAAAAACTCTGGTGCGAAGACAAAATAACCCTCAAGAACCAAGTGTGTGAGGCCGGTGAATGCCCACCAGAAAATTAGCAGCTTGTCGACTTTCGTTTTCTTGAGCCGTCCTGAGAAGATCCATGTGAGGGAAAAGAGGATGAGAGTGAAGGAGGCAAAGGCGGTGAGAATGTTGGATTGAGAAAGGAAGCAAGGAACGTGGCCAGGAAGATGCAAGTCTCGCGGAACGTAGGGATGAGGATGTGACGCTTGAGATCCCGCCATGTTGTTGTTTGATCTGAATGAATTGGTGTTTTGACTTTTTTGAGTTCGATGTTTGAGTGTGTTTTTTTAACAGAGGAAAATGGGACGAGCCTTATTGACAAATGTACGAGCCCCTATGAAATCTTTTCTTTCCATTTTCTTTTCAGCAATATCCTTGGCCCTTAAGGCCTCTTCTTTATTGCAGTCCATCAAAAGTCCAAATTTCAAAGCCTGACGAGTGATGACAGCAAGCTCTATAGCCAACAAAGCATAAATCCCCTCCAATAACTACAGCCCTCGCATTCAGATTGACCTATATGCCAATGACACCATTTTTCATACAATTCCAGCACAAGACCGAAGAAGCAATGTTCAAGTTCCAAGACCTGCGAGTGTGTTGTGAGAGTTGAAAAAAACACCTTCTTCTCAATAGTACTAGTACCATTTTGTTGTTACTATATTGCCATTCTGAATCTTCATTTTTTATGTTGTTTTCGTTGAAGAGAGTGACAGTAAGGATGGGTATGGTTTTAACAGAGGGAGTATATGATTTTGAAAGAGGAAATAGCAGGGTGATGGAAATTGGTGGTTTGTGGTGAGGGAGAGTGTATGAAGAAGTGTTAGAGAGTTGAAGAGGAGATGGTATGGGTTTGGGAAGTAAATGAAAAAGGTTGACAGTGGAGAAGGGAATTGATAGATTAAAGGTGGGTAGTAGATGGCCATCGTGTGAGGGAGTTTGAAGGGGGATTTGAAGTGTGTATGAAAAAGAGAGGGGGGATTATTTACTGTTTTTTTTTTTTTTTTATCAATCCACCACTTTTGCCAACAGCCAATGAGAGCATAGTATAGTGTAATCAATATATTTTTGTGACAAAAACGCCCCTGAATGACAAAAAAAAAATAAAACCTGAAAGTATAAAAAAATAACTCAATTTAAAATAGTTTTTTTGAATTTTTTCTGAATTAAAAATAAAGACACAAAATGACCGAAAATGATAAAAAACGGACGAAAATTTATCCGATAAAATAAAATGAACACATTAAAATAAACTACATGTCACGAAGATTAAAGAAAAACAATATTCAAGAAGTCAAAAAAATAAAAAATAAAATAATAATAAAATATCAGACTAAACATACGTTTAAGGTTAAAAACGAGACTTCGAACTGTACCGAAAAATAAAGCGAGCATACCGTCATAATCTACACGAAGCGCAGATTCATAAAATGATCGGTAAAAGGTGAAAACTTGAAATATTTTCTCGCTACTTTCCCGCATAGTGTCGAATCGCTTTTAACAGTCTGTCTATAAAACCAAAATATTTTTATTATTGACATGTAAACAATTTGGAGAAATGCAACAAATGAGTAAATGGATAAAAATGCATGAAGCAAAATGTCGGGTATTTTACAACTGAAAGACGATGCAAACTTTGATTTAAACTGACTTTTTCTTATCAACTTAAATACGACTAATGATGCAAAAATGTGATGAATGAAGATATTTACCAATGATCGTGACCAAATAACAAAATATGATATGAAAGTGCGACTAAAACATATTAGGGGCGAAATTCAGGGTGCAACGGTGTGCCTTGATGAATCAGTCTTCGAGAATCCATAATCAACCGTACTTTTGGCTTGGGAGACTCAAAACCTCAATTGAGGCGCGACACCTGATGCTCTTGATTCAGACCTGTCTCTGCACATGACACAAAAGAAAACATGAACATACACCTTTGTATGCGATTAGAAATTAGTGATACATATGCTAAAAATGTTCAAAACACTTAACAATCTTCGCATAGTCAAAGCTCGAAGGTGAGACGTTAAAACCGACCGTATTTCGTGACCTTGACTTATCTTAAAAATGCAAAAATAAAAATGGGATCTTAGGTCAAAAATTGGGGTACAACACATAATTATCTTGACCGAAAATAAAAATGCGGAAGTTTAAAACCCTAATTATCTTGACCGTATTTTATGTATTTTTGTGGTTTTTATTTGAGAAAAAAAAATTTAATTACAAATTTAAATGAACCTAGTTTCTAATTATTTTTAATTATGAAAAAGAAATTAAATTAACCTAACTTACTAAATACATTAAAATAAATATTTTATAAAAAAATTGCTCTTTTTTGTGATTTGTTGATTTTATGATGAATTAAAAAATAATTAATTTTCTAGTGAAAAATAATTAAACAAATCAATGAAAATAAAAGAAATAAAAAAAATGAATTAAATAATGGGCATGTTTGCATTGCTGAAGGAGGGGGGTGTGATTCTGAATTCTCCAGGCCCAATAGCCCTTCAAGTCCAGTCAGCGCTTGATTTCCTGTAGCATTGACTTGAGAGTGCATCATGGTCCCTCATTGCTGGAGCGTACATCTGGCTGAATGATGGATCCACTGGTTGGCTACTGCAAGCGCACGGTAGGCCTTTGGATGAGAATTGCATACGATCTGTGAATAGAAAATAAGAAAATAAGCGTTGCTAGGACCTGGGATCGAACCCATGTCCTTATGCTTACCACTGAACGCCCTTTCCAGCTGCGCTATTGTGACTTGTTGTTAGTACAATGAAAATAAAATATGATATAAAGAAAACAAATAGCTGAATCCAAAACGCGCGAAATTTCAAATGGACAAATAGATGACTGCCACGCCATCGTCTTCTCCAAGAATTCGTCATTTTAGGCAAAGACCTATACCCACGGACAAACTTCCATGGCTAGAAACCTGTGCAACTCAAAAACTCATAAAATGCAACATAAATGGAATTGAAGACAAGAGTTCAACTGGTTATGATGTCATGGTCATCATGGTATCTTCTTTGTGATCTAATTTTTCCTGTATCAAGAAACCCCAAGACATGGCTTCAAACCCTAGCCATGGCAATTGTCAGCATACGTGCTAAAACATAAATTAAACATAACCAATACATTGCAAACATGATAACAAACACATATATGTCGTTAAAACATGTTCATGATGCGTGAATCACAGTAATCGAATTTAGAAAAATAGGGTAAACCGTGTGACTGCTACGTGATGATTCTGAACCTGGGGCGGCTTGCAATTGATTGGGATACCTTCCTGGGATGTCCAACAATCTATTGGTAATGTTAGAATGGCTTGAATTGGCCTCTAGAATTGAAATAGAATCACCACTTTTCTTTGAAATTTTGAAGTTTTGTTCTAGCTTTTTACGACTGCAACCCCTTGTCTTATGCTTTGTACATGTTCCATATATATGTTAGAATGAATTAGGGTTATAAAATTGGCTTGTATCTTTGCAATTATGGAAGATTTGATTTGATTTCCATGCCATATGTAAACTTGTTATATTGAGCCAAATCATCCCTTTCTTGTACAAATTATGCTTGATTCGTTTTGGTCTTGATATCTCAACATATTTTGATTGCAAACCTGTCAAAAATTCAAATCAAAACATATCTTTGCTATTATTCACCAATTATTTGATTTAATTCAATTTTTAATTAATAAAAAATCAAAATAAATTGAACAATAAAGAAAATAATGTGTGGGTGAATATTTGGGTCGTGGACCATGTTATAAGTGAGGTGCAAGCATAAGAAGTTAGGCCCATTTAGCAAAAAATGTCATTTTGAGCCCATTTGACTTTTGACAAATTTGCAAAAAAGGTCAACTTTGACAAGGCATATCTCTTACAATTTTAACCCTAGAGAGGTGTTCTTGGACTTTTTAGAAAGCTTAGGATGTCCCCTAAGCAACCCAGTTGGTCTCATCTCAATTGAGTATTCCATGTTCATGTAAGAAATTTTGACCCAAAAGGTGTTTTTGTTAACTTTTCAAAAGGACCCATAATGTAGAAATTCATGTCTTTTTGTGGGTGCATATTTTGAACTTGTGGGGTGAATATGAGTTATAGGGAATTGCATCCTCTTAAAAATGAGCCTTGGATGGAAAATGTCTGATAAAATATGAGAAAGTTATGCTTGGTCAAAGTTTGGTTGACTTTCCTGAGAAACCCTAATTTAGCAACTTTTGGGTTTTGATGAATTTAGGGCATTCCTTGAACAATCATGATCAACCCTTGATAAAATTATGGATATCACTTCAAAATATTGATGTTGACCAAAAATATTGAAGTTTGACTGTATGTGGGCCACAATTGACTTTTGACCTAATACAGTCGATTCTCAAGCATCTAAGCAGTTGACTGAGCAAACTTCTTGTGCAAGGCATGAAACTTGACATGTAGGGTCTTGAGAACATATTAAGACCATGGATAGAATATGAGGTATTTGGAGTCCACCTATCTTGACAAAAATGGAAACCCTAATTTGAGACATACTGCCTTAGGAGAGAGTTTGTCTAGTCAACTCTTGGGCAAACTTGAGCAAATTGAGGTTCTATAGGAGTATGTATTGAGTAAAATGAGAGGGAACATTTTGGGGTACAACAGCTGCCCCTATTCAATCTTCTTAAACCCGAGGATGTAGATTGGTTCGTCTGCCTTTCGTGATCTAAAGGTGGAAGATGATTGAACACTAGAGTGTCCAGAAATTTGCACTCGCATGAAGTGATACTTGATTTGTAATATCGGGAATGGGCTTATAGACGCCATTTGGAAGTTTCTAGAGAATTTTCAGAGATGGGATTTAAGTTTCCATCAAGATGTGATGGAGAATCGTCGGGGATGGGCTTAAAGATGCCATCTAGAGGATGTTGATTTCCTGAGATATTCCTTTGATGCGAGTTCCTGTTCCTGTTGTTGGTGAGGAATCTGCTGAGGAATATTGGTATCTATCTTGGGAGAATTAGAATTTTAGGAGCTTCAGTTGTCCGTTATTCTACTGGGGAAATAGTTCCTTCTTGAGGAAGCAGAAGTGAACTGCATATCTGGTCAGGGTATAAGCTACACCACGACTTACTGGGGAAATGCGAAACCAATCGTGTTTGATCAGGTCCAAGTCTTACAGTGTTGTGGACTATTGTCTGGAGATAAGGGAGAAGGAACCTGGATAGTAAGGTTAT